AAGCAGTGGTATCAACGCAGAGTACTGACAGAAAACAAACAAAAATAAAGGAATAAGAATTTGGATGTAACCTCAACACCATTATTTTTTGGATTTTCTTCGCGTAGCACACTGCTCCATTAGTCCTCTTGTATCAATTACCAGTACGACCATCGGCAGTCAAATGGCGGGTGAACCTGATAATTAGTGCATAAAGATGCAAAGCTGTGACATACCAGAGTCAAACTGCGAAAACCCTATGCGCTTCTGTTAACCTCGCCACATCATTGCATTTCTTAACGGCATAAAGTTTGAAATCTTCCTTGATGTCCATGATATGGACGATATCACATGGAATGGGTAATCTTCACGTAGCTGCACTCGACGTGTTGTTGAGTCCTGAATCGCGAATTATCTGAAAGAAATACTGTTGAATATCAAGATGTTAGAAGGCGAGTCTGATAGAGTCAAGACGAAGAATCTACAACCAAGTAACAACCGAACTCACTGTCCTCAGGCGGGTCGAAGCCAAAAACACTCCCCATGCTCTCTAAGCCCGATCGCAGTAGGAGATCATGTCTGTCGTTCAAGTTGAACTCTCTAATAATCAAATGTGATAGAGAGTGCCTCAAATCCTGAACTTGCACCTGGAAGACCATCGTAAAAGCATACAAAGCACATATGGTAAAACACAGCAAGTACACCCACGCACGTTGCAAATCTTCTCAGATTGCTCTACTAACACTTGGTCCAGCATCAGGTTTCCTGCCTAGAGGAGCTCCGCACCAGCGGTAAACCCATTTTATGTACCGGAAATATGTGTAATGTTGAGAGAGACAAGCGATCAGCAGCATGCATTTAATAACATCAAAGTATGCCTTCTCTTGAAAAAATTTTGCTCCTTTTTTTCTCCGCTGGTATGTCTTTTTCGTCCACTCGCCACAATTGCCACATCTCCTTCCTGCAAATGAAACATATGACAAAGCACAGTAAACATAAATGATAAGGAGACTATGGAGGATGAGAGAGGGTCGCATGCGTTAGCGCAACAGATAAGTTCGCGCTCCTGTGAGAAAGAAAGCGGCTGTTAACGGCTATCGACGATCAGCGGGTGGCACTGTCCGAGGCGCACGGCTAATGGCGGCTGCCACGATATGAAGGGCACCTTAAGGCTCAGGCATACCTTCAGTGATTCATCAACCGCCACCTCGCGTGGTTATTTACCAAATGACCAAGGATCAACGGTCCGCAAATCTTTAATGCATAGGTGCATAGCTTTGGTAAGTCATCGCAGCCGTATCATGTCCTGCCCAAGTAAAGTGTGCTTATATTTGATTACGAAGAGTAACTGCAGGCACAGCAACTGGAGTCGCATGAGTTAGGTCTTGGGCCTCGAGCATAGTACAAGCGATTTCGTCGCCTCGCAATTCTTCCAACAAACCAACAATTACGGGTCTATTGCATGCCAATCATTTTGTAATTCGGTGATAGTTAGTCACGATCAGTCATGTCGGAAAACTCTCACAACAAAATGATGATGATGATGAGATGCATATAATGGACTCGTAACAGTTGTCTCGTTGAGAGAATGGAGGCGATGAATCGCGTAAACACCCGAGGCTTTATGCTTAGGCGTCAGAAAAGGAAAAGTGCTACCGCAAAAGACCGTCAAAATTTGAATCACAATCTAATCTGAAAGAAGAAACCTAAATCATAGCGGTACAGCGCTGCCCACCTATAAAATTGCTCTTTTGCCATTAGAATGCGCACAACACACAGTTGAATCGTAAGGCCCGCAATTCTGCACGAACCTTAACAGTCACCCCACTGCCCATGTTTGAAGTGGAAGGCTATCGTACAAGCCCATTCCCACCAAGTGCTAAAGACTTCAGTTCACGGTACTAAGGTTGCGGTGTGACACTCTGAAATCGGGAGGAGGAGAGGGGCAAACTACACATGAGTGATATCTAGCTATGGTGTAAATATCCCATTATCCAGACTAATTTTCGCTCCCGGCTCCAAGATATGCGCCTGCTTTTGGTCGATGTTGTGATGGGGACCATAGAATTCATTTCTGCGTAGTGGAATTGCAGAAATCAACACTGCATAAACACTCTTTTGGATAAGCTTTGCTTACACGCATTCATAGACGTCTCATACGCTGCGATTTCATCGCCTCGGGAATCTCCCCACATGATAACTCATACGAGTTCATTGCAGGCCGATCCTCTTGCATTCCGATTGTAATAGCTTTCCGACGCGACCAATCATAACTAACTATAACGACCGAAATTCAAGGTGATCCGCATGCGATAAACTCGTAACAGTTGCCATGCTGGGAGAATCGCGAGGCGACGAAATCGCGTGAACTATACCTATGACCCTGAGGATATCGTTCAACTTGAAAAATTCAGATGAACCATCTAACTTACTTCGAAATCTTAAGAATTGCGTGCGCTGGCTTGAAGAGAGAAAAACCTTCAACTCCGTAGACAATGGTTGAAATCCATATGTTCATCGGCAACCAATTCTTTCTTTGTGCCAACCTTAATCGAATCCTCCCGGAAATATACACGCGTGTGTTTCTTTCAACAAAAGAAAATCAGCTTGATGATAAGTCAGTGACAAGTTTCGAGACTGTCTATGTTAACTCAACTTGGTTCCATCAAAAAACAAAAAACAAGTACTGGTAAAAGGTCTAGGCACCTTATTACAAAAATGAAGTCTTCATGTCCCCGTAGCAGACTGTTTACCCACGCAGTACTGCCTTCACTGATCGAATTTAACAGCATACAGGCAACTCCGCTGCTGACTGGTACAACTTTGATTTGGGATCTTTTAAGGAGACATCTGCAAAGAATGACCATATTAGACAACAGCTGAAGGCTACGAGCAAGACAAATAAACGACGATAAAGCGGTAGAACTCAAAACGGGAGAGGGATGGGAGAGAGGGAGAGAGAGAGAGAGAGAGAGAGAGAGAGAGAGAGGAAAAAAAGAAAGAAAGAAGATTGAGTGCGCCTAATCAGCAGAAGGAAAGCGAGCGGTGGCAGCCTTGAAAAACAGGGCGCGCGTTGCGGGACCACCGCTCGCTTTCCCGCTTTGTGCCGCATTTTTGAATTAGCGTTACGATTTTATATTATATGACTAGCTGGCATACCCGGCTCCGCCGTATGTTCCGAATAGAAAATTCCATTTCTTAACCGATCCGAACCAAACTTGGCACACATACACTTCGGGCCCCGGCGGGTGTCACAGTCCACTTTTCGTTATCGATTGACGTCGATTTTATCGATTTTTTGCAAAATTTGAGCTAGGGGGCTGGGATTTGGCACAGGGGGTGTAATCGAGCATGCTGATCACCCCCCCCCCCTGTGCCAAACCCAGCCCTGTAGCTCCAACTTTGCAAAAAAAATCGATAAAATCGATAAAAGTAATGCACGATTCTAAAAACTAATGTTGTATTCGTAATCAGCATGCTCGATTACCCCCCTGTGCCAACTCCCAGCCCCGTAGCTCAAATTTTGCAAAAAATCGATAAAATCGATATCGATCGATGACGAAAAGTAGCCTATGACACCCGCCGGGGCCCGTAGTGTATGTGTGCCAAGTTTGGTCCGGATCGGTTCAGAAATGGAATTTTCTATTCGGAACATACGTACACACAGACATACAGACAGACAGACAGACAGACAGACAGACAGACATACAAACAGACATTCAGCTTTATATATAAGATTTTCTTCTCTTTTCTGCACGGCTCGCGGGGCTCTCCACAGCATCCAAACTCCTTTACGAGATACGAGAGAACAACTTCCGGTGAGAACATTGCGCAGTATAGCGATCAAGCCAACTTGCGTTCGAAATTGTTAGCTTATCTCAACCTGCTGTTTTTGATCCTTTGACCAAATGAGCTCTGGCTCCAAAGTGAGAGGCAGATGCTCCTGATGCACATTTCTTCCCCTCATATCCTTAAAACTGCTTACTTCAACATTTCTCTCATTCTTCCTTTTATCTTGGTCTATCAACCATAATATCTAGTCTCATTTTAAATTTTTGGCAATTTCGCGAATGAGCAATTTTTTTGAAATTTCCAGGTTTTGTGGCTCTGACCTTGATGTTACTTCGTAACAACATTATAGATGTTAAAAATCGGTTGCAAAAGAAATGAAAGCAAAAGGGGTCGAACCACTGACCTTCATCGTATCAGTCTGCACACTTGCCACTGCGCTATGCCGCCGCTTTATCTGGCAAATGGGCTATGTGTATTTGATGTGCTCGGCGGGATCCTGGTGGAATCACGTCCCATAACTTCGCGTACAAGACCGCTCTGCAGATATCGAGGGTAGATATGTTACTAGCGTACCCTGGGTGTTGAAGGTATGCAGCTTGTGCGGATTGGCCACTTCGATTTCTGATCATTCCCTTGTCAATCCACAACTAAGGTCCGTTTACTCAAATCGAAGGTGGTGATTCCGATGTTGTATAATAGGAGGGCCCCTTACTTAATGAATTTGTGCCTGCAGAAGATGAACTCTGAAGCGAGAAAATTACTCCATGGTTAAAGCGGCCCATGGCTCCGGCCATCAGCGTGGGTGTGCTAAAGGTGATGAGCTTGGGAGTGAGTCACAGGCAAGATAGAGATATCGAAAATTTGATAATCACAAAGTGGAACTGATCTGTAACAATCATAGGCACATTAGGGCCCAGCTTCGGATCTGTTACATTAGACCACCCACGCTGATTGTCGGAGCTACCTTGACCTTGTACGTCCTGGAACGATTCTCTAGCTTCGATTTTTTGTAACAAAACTTGGGGGGTATGCCTTGTTAAAGGCACCGCTATTGTACAGCATCGTAACCCAATTCTTTACACTTTCACTCCAAACAAGAATCTTGCTTTCGAAATGAATTTTCAACGGCGTCGTGACGGCTGGCATCCGCCCTTAGGCTCGTCGAAAACAGGATCGCACAAAGAGAAAAAACAATTTCAGAGTTTACTCGTTTTGAGCAAGTTTTCTAGTGACTACTAGCATAGGTGCGAAGGGTTGAGAAAAATCTCACCCCCCCCCCCCCTTCACTTTGGAGCCTGGGCTACCCACCCCCCTTCATTTTGGACGGAGAAAGAAAAATTTTTTAGGTGAGATGATAGTATGCTTGAAGTGGAGTACAATTTAAGGTAAAAGAATTTATTTACAGAGTGTAGGGAATGAGAGTGCGGGAAAGGAAGCAAAAATCGGGACCGGACCCCCCTCACTGGGACGAAGCTGGTGCTAAGGTGAGTTAGTTAGATTAAAGTTGAGATATCGGAGCTGAAAAATCCAATTTTAGGCATTCCATGGACGAGCAGTATTGAGTCGATATGGCAGGACGCATGGTCGTGAAACGAATGGCTGGAGTGGTGCTACACGTGGGCTTGTTGGACGAGACTCTGAAAAAGACATTTTGTGGTTATAATGTGGATATAAATTGAATAATTTGCCATCGTATTGTGTGTATAAGGATAAACAATAAATGGAATTGTTGTACACAATCGAATGTATATACTGAGTGAAGGCAGGAAGATAATCAGAATAGGAAAGGTAAGATATCGGAGTTTGATGATCAAAAGAGAAAGCTGCTGGAAACAAGTTTTATAAAGGTAGAGGGAGAAGGTAAGTCAGGTATTAGGTACTCAGGTAAGCTTCCGTTGTAAGCTGATAAGGAGAAGCACGTTTGAGTTGCCAACTATATCCCCCCTTCGAGCCAAAAATTTTCCATATCTCGGTGTGGGGGTCATCTCATGATCTAGTTTTTTTATCTTGTAAGGGAGAGTGTGCTTGAGATAACTAGGGCTGTCGCAAAAGAATCTGCTGAAGCAGAACTTCTGAAGCTTGGGTTTTACGCACAAATTTATGCGTCTTCAACCCGGTGCTGTTCCTCTCCTTCCTTAAAGCAGATCCTTTTGCGACAGCCCTAGTTATATCAAGTGAACCTCCCTCTACAAGATGGTGAAAAAAGTAGATCATGAGAGGACCTCCCCGCTGAGATATGAAGCGTCAAATTGAACCACCCCAAATCGATTTTTTTGCTATAACTCTTATGTAAATAAACAAAGGTAAACAAGGAGCTGGAATTAGAATCTACTCTTCAATAGCTTTCGAATGATATATAATATGTGGGGGTTCCTTGTTTTTTTTCGCCCTGCGACAGGGGTTGAGACGCTCCAGTTATGCGATCTCAACCCCGCCCACTTTAATGCATGTGGAGGGGGGGGATAGACCTGAGATCGCATAACTGGAGCGTCTCAACCCCTGTCGCAGGGCGAAAAAAACAAGGAACCCCCACATATTATATATCATTCGAAAGCTCTTGAAGAGTGGATTCTAATTCCAGCTCCTGGTTTACTTTTGTTTATTTACATAAGAGTTATAGCAAAAAAATCGATTTGGGGTGGTTCAATTTGACGCTTCATATCTTAGCGGGGAGGTCCTCTCATGACCTACTTTTTTCACCATCTTGTAGAGGGAGGTTCACTTGATATAACTAGGGCTCTCGCAAAAGGATCTGCTTTAAGGAAGGAGAGGAACAGCACCGGGTTGAAGACGCATAAATTTGTGCGTAAAACCCAAGCTTCAGAAGTTCTGCTTCAGCAGATTCTTTTGCGACAGCCCTAGTTATCTCAAGCACACTCTCCCTTACAAGATAAAAAAACTAGATCATGAGATGACCCCCACACCGAGATATGGAAATTTTTTGGCTCGAAGGGGGGATATAGTTGGCAACTCAAACGTGCTTCTCCTTATCAGCTTACAACGGAAGCTTACCTGAGTACCTAATACCTGACTTACCTTCTCCCTCTACCTTTATAAAACTTGTTTCCAGCAGCTTTCTCTTTTGATCATCAAACTCCGATATCTTACCTTTCCTATTCTGATTATCTTCCTGCCTTCACTCAGTATATACAAATTCGATTGTGTACAACAATTCCATTTACTGTTTATCCTTATACACACAATACGATGGCAAATTATTCAATTTATATCCACATTATAACCACAAAATGTCTTTTTCAGAGTCTCGTCCAACAAGCCCACGTGTAGGCACCACTCAAGCCATTCGTTTCACGCCCATGCGTCCTCCCATACATAGATGCGAAAGGTGGAGAAATTCCTCTGACCCCCTTCACTTTAGAGCCGGCATCTGGCTGACCCCTTTCACCTGAGGTTGAGACTAGAATCAAGGCATAACGGCCGAATCAAACAGCTGTTACAACGGCACTTTTTGTCAGCGTTTTGTTGAAAAAACGCATGCTTGAGACCTTCTGCGCATACAAAGTGGCCTTGATAACGAAACATTATCAAAAATTCAAAGAATGTTCAATTCTTTGAATAATTAACTTTGTATCAATGAATGCACACTGTCGCAAGAAAAAGTTGAGCAAGAGTAGAAAATCTGGACTAGCTAGTGATGGATGCATGTTTACTGACAAGAATCGTACCATATCTCCTTTCACTGGAGAGAATAATATCAAATAAAAGGGCAGTTAGATTACTCGTTTCTCAAGCTTTCGAATCATATATAAAAGTTCGAAAAAGCCTTCTTGGCTTGAAAAGATAATTGTCCAGATTTGACTGATATTGTAGCTAGATAAAACTGCTCGTATTTCGCTTCACAGAAAAGCTATGAAAAAAGAGACGGTCTACGTCGATTCCTTGTGTTCTTAGCTATCGAATGGTATATAAAGTGTTGATGTAGAAAGCTTTCCCAGTCCAAAAAAGTCTTGCTCCGGCGACCCATAGAAAGCCGGAGCGGAGTGGAGGAAGTTAGGTATTGAATATCTCCACCTCATTTTTGAAAAGCCACAAGTTTTTTCACCCAACAACCTATATACCATTAGAAAGCCCACAAAAAAAAGGATTCGACGTAGACCGTCTCTTTTTCTCTAGCTCCCCTTCATTTAGAGATACATGGCATTTTAGCTAAAAACATGTGTGTTTTTGTCAAGAAATTTCTGCGTGAAGAATGAATGAAGGTGCCTGATTTTCGAACAGTATCACACAGCAAGGCTTTCTAGCTTTCCTCTTTCTTTCAGAAATAGAGCTTAAAGTGATCGCATAAAATCAGCTGATGCTAGAACTAGATATGATTTTTTATATCTGAATTCACAAGTAAGCTGGGAAAAAAGAGACGGTCTACGTCGATTCTGTATGTTCCGAGCTTTCGAATGGTGTGTTGACTGATAAAACATAAAGCTTTCTTGAGTCAAAAAAGTCTCTGTTGGATGACCTTCCAAAGCCTGAGCATTGAGGAAATCTTCAAATTGCATCTCTATACCACTTATTTTCCTTTTTTTTACTCCCGCTCCCGTTAGACATGTAAGCTTGCGTCAGCATTCATCTCAGTTCAGTTACCCCCTTCACTTTTCTGAGTCAGAAATAGCCCAAACCCCCTTCACCTAGAGGGGACCCTGCTCCCCTTATCGCACCTATGCTCCCATATCGACTCAATACTGCTCGTCCTTGGAATGCCTAAAATTGGATTTTTCAGCGATATCTCAACTTTAATCTAACTAACTCACCTTAGCACCTGCTTCGTCCCAGTGAGGGGGGTTAAAAGCAAAAAAAATTGAAAAATTGTTAAAATTAAAATTTGGAAGAATTAAAGTAAAAAAATTGAAAATTTATTTTTTTTCAATTCCCCCCCCCCCGGTCGACGTCGGCAATTTTTGGACCCCCTTCACTTTTAAGGGTCAAAAACTCCTGAGACCCCCTTCACTTTGGAGGGTACCCATCTCAGGCCTTCGCACCTATGACTACTAGACTACTTAACTAGCTCAATTACTTAACTAGTTACAAGCAAGCAAGTTTTTTTGATGCAACTTCACAAGATTATTTATTTAGCAGATTGATCTGTATATTTTAATGTGCCTAAATCTTTATGGTCAATTTTTCTATTCTCATGTTACGTTTATTTACGCGAGGCTCAGGACTTGGTAGTATCATATTTGTTCGAGATTTTTCTCTTTATTCTCTCGTGGTGCACCAAAGTGTATTGGTAGCAATGACTAGGTTGCTTGTAAAATTCTTTTACCACCTCTGATTCAATCAGTATATAATGCGCAATTCCTCGTGGTTGCAGTCAAGCTTTGGAACTTTATTTGTAATCTTCATCCGTTATTTTGGGCACTACGGCGCACTACAACATTTTTGAATGCCTAGATTGAAGCTAATGATGAAAAAATCTTCTCAAATTGGTAAATTATCTAAGAAACTGCACTGATTGTGAGTAATAATGTAGCTGATAAATCACTGGCGTTCCTATGTATTAGTGACGAAACGGTGTTACTATACTATGGTAATTGATGTGATTTTTTGCCTTGTTTGAACACCACTCTCATCAACTATAGAAGTCTGGTCAGCAGGTAGCAAGTTCTACCCAGTTTGTGTTACTGACTAGAGTTTGTATTTGTGTTTCTGCGTCATTTCTTCTAAATGGCGCACCTTGAGTGCACACAAGTAAATAAATAAATAATGGCTTCAGGACGTGAAGGCCGTTTGGAACTCATTTGGTGATCCTACAGTGTTGAAGGAAGGAAATTTTATTTTTGATACTATAGATCTACATCAACGAAATAATATTTGAGGACGAGCGATATACGTGCTCTGGAGAGCTATTAGCGACCAGCTGTTATAGATGCATGATTACTTGTTGTTATTTAGGTATCCTGTAGTAAACAAATTCAAGAGCATTTACTAGTATAGAAGATTTCATATTCATCGCGTTTAAACGCGTACGCTCAAAGTATCTAGTGCACCAGTAACCTGTTAGCTAAGATCAGATAAAAACTGACTGGTACCATTCTCTATAAAAGTTAAAATTTACATTTTATGAAAGAGATAATCGATAGACTGTACAAATCTACACATGGAGCAATAGTCAATGCAGTGGGAAAATGTGAACTAATCACGAAGAGATCGAGCAGAGTGCACAGTCACAAAACAATAACTGCAGGATAGGACCAATAAAAAAGGTACGCAAAAATTCGTACAATGAAACATCAGCCAGTGAGGGAAAACAACAAGTGAACAATTGATTGCTGTAAGAAGCACTTATCGCATCCAATGCATAGTAATGAAAGCGGCAGCGACGACGATCGTAACGGAGGTGCCTAGAGTAAAGCAGCACCATCAATTCGAACATTCTAGAGCCAATAAAAGACAAAATCAGCTTACAAAAGGTTGAAGCAGCTTTTTCAACAACAGTCTCGGACTGTACCAAGAATCCAAGCTCATTCTCTATTCGGTGATTCTGCAATTTGAATCCATGGATGTAGGTACTAGGTTGGAAAATAAGTCTTGCAATTAATGTTACGTGCACACTTATCAGTTTCAACAAATTCATTTGTTCTAATTTGAGGGAGAAAATGATGTGCTTCCTAGTCTTCGGCAGTCAAGAATGCTACTAAGACAAGGGCCGAGGCCAGCATGGCTTTTTTACAGGAAATGAAGAAAATACTCGTCTCAGATCGCTGGTTATAAATCTGTGTTCAGTGTGTGCGATGCAATTTTATTGAAAAAGTTATGTAATGTAGGTTTTTTTGTGACAGCTGCACTGTTGCAGAGTGTCAAAATGGCCAATAGGAGATTTCAATGCACTTTGGAATTTAAAGTCGTTTGTGATCTGAACACAATGACAGATCATCACTCATATTGCTCCGTAGTATAAAGCAGGCTTGGCAGCGCTATTATTTTGATTGGTTCGTACGAAGTTCATATGTCCATGACTCTTCCAAACAGTCGCTCTAAAGATACGAACATACGTAGACTTAGATTTTCATGTGAGAAGACCAAAGTGACCTTGGGTTCTTTCCTTCTAAGAAGGAGGGAAAAATGTGAGTGGACCTTCAGACCCCATTATAAACTCGCATCTCTCATCCTACTCATGTTCCAGAGGTCCTCCAACCCTCATACCTTAGTGAATGACATCGCATTGCCATAAAAGCTGAGCATTGTCTGTGTGGATGATGCCTTGGAGGATCCCCAGCGAATAATCATCTCAAAATTATCTATCTTTCTTCAAACTCAATGAAAAGTACAAAGTTGGGCTGAGTTGTTCTGAGTATCTAATATCCAGCGCTAAACATGACTTAATAGGACAGATAGAATATGAAAGTCATTAATTCTCGATAAACCCCAACTCATTAGCATTTATATAAAAGACTAGCTTGCTTACCCGGCTCCGCTCGGCCCTGTCAAAACACTGTAAGAAAGGTCCTATCCCTATTCCCACAGCTTTTCCCTGTACCCACTTCTACACTTCATTTCGCGTTCCCTAAGTTGTTTGCGAAATTAGCATGCCCACTTACCCCCTGTACCAACTCTCAGCCCTTCAGCTCAAATTTTGGAAAAAAATCGATAAAATTGATAAAAGTAATAGATAATACCAAGAACTAATATTGTATTCTCAACCAGCATGGTCGATTACCCCCTGTGTTACTCCCAGTCCCGTAGGTGAACTCTGCAAAAAATCGATAAAAATCCATAAAATAGATATGGATCGATGACGAAAAGTAGCCTATGACACACTCCCCGCCCCGAGGTGTGTGCCAAGTTTGGTCCAAATTAAAAATTTATATAAGATTCCACCCTTCAGCTTGTCTTATGTATATCACAGATTGCGTAGCACCCTCATATTGTCTCTAGCACAACTTTTATATGTTTTCATTGTACTTAGAATAGACTCTAAAAGATGATGGTGATTGCGTGGCTTCCAAGAAATCAAAACAATTAAAAACCAGCTTAAATAACAATGCGCCGAAATTCTTCACCCGCAGTGAAGCGTCAGAAAGATGTTTAAAAACGAGGAGCACAGCATCCCAGAGCACCGAGATTTAACGGCCTTAATCAAGGACCTCTCCTTGCGTGATGTCGCGTTCGGCATAAGTCTTGTTGGAATTTTCCACTCCACTCACTTATGTAATCGATGTACGTCATGACAGAGGCATGTGCCCGACGCAACTTCGAGGCGAGGCGCCTGAGGCGACAGGCCTCGATCGTCGCTCTCGCTATGCAGACAGTGGGAAAAACGGGCGTCTTGCTTGGAGACACAAACAAGTCGTGGTGACTGGCCAGTGATCAGCGGTCGCGTACGATCGGGGACATGATGACCGTTCGCCGCACTGAAACACCCCTGTTTCATTGGGGTGGGGTGGAGAGTAAAGTTTTGATCGCTAAATGAGCTTGAGAAATGATTAGGGAGCACGCTCACGAGAGAAATGCAAATTTCAAAATCCCATCCACCACCCGTCACACCCAATGATACAGAGGGTACACGCAAATAGTTGAAATGCGCTTCAAATACAATACATACCACAGTGAAGCTGATATTTGTACATGGCTCACATTGGAGATCAAGCCCCACTATGCATATCGTTTTCTCCAAGCTGACTTGCCGACAACCGCACCTTCTTCTACGTGCTTCCTTTCTCTTGCTGGCAAGATTGCTGACCTTTAATTGAACTGGCTCGGCGTCTCTAAGGCGGATCTTTATGACTTAATAGGCCGTTCATGCTTGCGACGCAGTCTGCGTCTCTGTCGCGCGTGTGCCCTCTGATCATCATATAGCCTTAGTTAGGTCATAAAGCTCCGCCTTCCAGCCGCCAAGCCAGCTGAACCAAAGGGCACTGTCGCGGCTAGCGGTGCACGCGCTCCTCGAAGTAGGAAGCCGGGAGCACCGGTTGATTCGCACATCCAGTCGCGATTACGGTGGCGTTTTAGCTTCGCAATCGTTCTCTCCTTGCTGGCACGCAGCCAACAAAACGCCTATATAAGGCGGCGCATCATTTGCTCATCTGCTCACTTTCGCCTTTATTGATTACTTTTGTCTGTGATTTCGATATTGCATCATCGTGCCTTGAGCTCCCGCATTGAATGTGTTTTGTTGCTGACCAAGCTGTAGAAGAGGTGCAAAGGATTTTGGGTAAATTTAAGCGCAGGACGCGCAAGATGAAAGCAACCCCTTTTGGAATTGTTGCTGAATTAGAACTATCGGGTGCGGAGAGGGTTGCACCGTTTTCTTCGGGCGACTGGCGACGGATCTGTTAGGTGAGGCCTCGGGAAGTTCATCTTCGGAGATAAGTCTAACGGGGCCACCGGTAGCATGGAGCGATGCGACCGCCCGTGTTTTTTCTTTTACATGATTAGTATTTTAGGATGTAGTGTAGTTCTAGTGATTAAAGATAAATCGTAATTTATCTGGTTGGCTCTTCTTATTTTAGCGTTCATGCGTTAACAAATATCTCTTGCGGATAGGAGCAGTCCACGGCAGCGGACGCTAAGGCGTCATGAACGGACTTAATGGATGCGCAACACCATCGTAGGGGGCAATAGGGAGTTAGATGTAGACGCGGCGAGCACTTGCGGAAGGTGCTGATCACACCGAGCCGCCACAGGTACTATAGCGCAGTAACTGTAGGCGTTGCTCGCGCTTCATCGCTCGTTCGGTGCCAAGCGAGCGCGCAGCGTCTGCTGCGGCAAATGCACGAACTTAGCCAAGCTTCTTTTAATTAGATTGTAATTATTTAATGAATTGCTTGCGCAAATTGTTAGGCGTTTAAATACACAAACGAACTGTAGAAATGAGGACCACATATATAAGAAAATAACTGCGATTGCGAGATTTCTGCGTGTACAAGGGGTTTCAAAGATTTTTTATTGTAGACTGAAGTCAAGTTGTGTGCATCATTGAGAGATTTGGTTCCTTCTTACCTTCTAAAAATTAGAGTTTTACTGTAAGGCATACTTCAATCAGTTCATTTGAGTGTCTATATTTTAGATAAGAATTTCAGGAGCGAATTCTTTCATGCGTATTTTGTTAATATAGTGTGCTATATCAACAGTTCAGAGCTTTCAAGTACTCATAACACGAGGACCAAGCAGAACAGCAAATCGTATGTACCGCCTTAGAAACATCTAAAAACACACTCACCCTTAATTCCTCCCATCGAGTAACGAATTCGTCATCAAGCGGAATCGGTTCGATTTGCAACGATTTGTCAAATTTCATTTTTCGATCGTGATTTTGTAGATACGTCTTCCAGTCGAATTCTACAACATTGTTTACAAATCGTAGATCGTTTTCTTTACCAAACTACTGACCAACATCTGGTAGGACATTTTTCTTCCAATTTAGTTCACCATTCTCCTCAGCTAAGTAAAAGCGATCCTTCAGAAGACGCTGGAGATCGATGTCAGAACCAAGCACCGGATCTTGTCATAGAATCTGAAAATCATTTTTCGAATGTCTGATAAACAGTTCGACCTATAATTCTGCGGCCACAAAAACTAGAAAGTTTGAGATAAAGAGAAGAATATTAGAAGCAAAGCCCTAACGGCGCATTTAAAGAGCCTAGAAACATCCTTAATAAAATCAATCGGACATACAGGCTTATTCTGTAATAGCAGCCATTGAAGGGACATCCCCATATACATAATCCAAATCCAAATCCAATTCACTATCGAGAAAAAAAGAGATTGATTAAAAGCGCTCAAGGCTGTCAATCTCGTAAAAATTCATCAACGGCAGTTGTCGTGAGTTCTTTGCACCTAAAATAAAGAAATTACAGAATGGAACAAAATCACTTAAGAGGGAAAAGCAAAGAAATCTAGTAGAGCTGAAACGAAAAGAGCATTAAAGGCATGCGCTGCGCACGCGTCGCGGAGGTATCTATGGGAAGTTGACCGGGGTCCACACTATACCTACAGTAGCTGCGGAAGGCTGACAAAGAGGATAGAGGTCATTTCTAGGTTTACAGCAAAAGGAAACTTTTGGAATGAACTAGAATATTTGTCATTCTAACGAAGTTCAAGCCTTAAGTCAAGTCCCACGTGGTAGTAATTGCTTGACCGTGGTTTGTCAAGCGTTCGTCAATGTGTTAAACCATTCCCATACTCAGATACTGGGAGCGGACGAGCCGCGGCCCCAAAAGGCCTTTTTGGCTCGTCCACGGCCTTAATTTAGGGGCGTGGCCAGAGTGCGGCCGACCTGCGACCCTTAGTTCATGTCATTATCATTGCAGCTGCATGATTTTTTTAGTTCAATTCAGTTTTTTTCGCACATACTTTAGAAATAACAGGATTATGAATAAATCATTGAATGAGCTTATACATAAATCAGTAGCCCATGATATTCCATTTTGAGATGATAGATATGGCCACGTTCCAATCCTGCGCAGAACCGACAACAGATTTTCCAACAGTCTTGTAAGTTCGGGGGTAAGGTTGTTTCAGAACTCATCATAACCAAGTAATTGACTTAGCCTGACCTAAGTGAGCATCTATCTTATTAACAAACTAGCTGACTTACCCGGCTCCGCCCAGCCCTGTCATTATTTTATTCGTAATCAGCATGCTCGATTACCCCCTGTGCCAACTCCCGCCCCGTACAAACTTTGCAAAAAATCGACAAAAATCGACAAAAGCAGCGGATAATTCTAGAAACTAATATTGTATTCGTAATCAGCATACTCAGTTACCCCCCTGTGTCAACTCCCAGCCCCGTAGGTGAACTCTGCAAAAAACCGATAAAAATCGATAAAATCGATATCAATTGATGATGAAAAGTAGCCAATGACACCCGCCCGGTCCCGAAGTGTATGTGTGCCAAGTTTGGTCCGAATCGGTTCAGAAATGGAATTTTCTATTCGGAACATACGTACATACAGACATGCAGACAGACATACATACATACAGACATACAGACATACAAACAGACATCATTCAGCTCTATATATAAGATGAAGGAAACAGAATTTGAAAGCGTTAAGGCAACTCAAAACTCGTTCCTTCTCTCTTCCATTTCTTAAACTTGCAACGAATTTTTTGCTTTGGTAGGACAGCGCGAACAGTGTGATGCATTTTTCGTGCAAGTGAAAGATGTAAATTTTTGTAACGACAAGAGTCTATTTTCTAAAATCTGGACTGTCAATTTATAGATCCTTAGCCTCTGCAACTACAGCTTGACTTTTCCTTAAAAGATCGCAGATATCCTTTACCAAACTCTAGCTGGTATCTGGAAGCCAACATAGGGTGAACTTATAGGCCCCGGGCAGACTTCACGCGATTTGATCGTCGCGACTATCGCCAAGATTTCCATTCATTTTCATTTCACATTCAGATATTTCGGGCTGGAAAAGTATCACAACCGAATGCAAGTTGATCGGCATGGAATGATGTTATAACAGTTATCTCGTCGCGATTCAGTCGCAACGATCGAAACGCGTGAAGTCTGCCCAGGGCCATATCCTATACCAAACTCTAGCTGGTATCTGAAAGTCAACATAGCGTGAACTCATAGGCGGTAGTTGCGTTTCGTCAATAATGCTAAAGCTTTCTTTTGAAAATTCACAGTTTCACATCAGATGCTATCGAATTACAAATTCGATCTGAAAGTTTGTTACAAGAACTCTCTTCCCAGTGTTTGACCTTCGAGCTGCTTCAAATACTGTCATGCTCTCCATAAGATGGAAAAATTGTGCAAGGCTTCAAGTGCATGTATCATGCTAAAACAGGATGTCAACTCAAATAGATGTTTGTCTACGACGTAGAAGTAATGCCGATTTCTGTGCTTTAAGTAGTCGATGACGACCTCTTATTTTGAACCCAACGCATTTCCACAATGTTGATGCGAATATGTAAAAATAAAGTCAAATTTTCCTACTTTATAAAAACCGTACGATTGAATTATTATTTTTTAAATTTTAGGGGAAGAATCCGAGCAGCCAAATAATGACACTCGACCCTAGAACAACTCGAAGATGATTTTTATATAGCAATTTGTACATAGTGTTGTGTTCTATCGTGATTTAACAAAACTTGGGTATGCAAGGTGTAAGGCGGGGTTCATACTGGTTCGGATGTTCCGGAACAGTTCCAGCACAGTTCTCGCACTGTACTGGAACTGTGCCGGAATCTGCATGCGCCGCGGCCGCTCGCATGCAAATTTGAGCGGCGGGAGATTTTTGACTGTTTTCAACGATTTCCTAGGTTCCTCTTATTTTGGCCTCATTCCTCTATCCCGCTTCCCCTTTTGATGAGCAGAACTCCGAACTTGAAGCGAGAGTGAGATTGAGCGAGAATGAATAAGCGCTGCTCTGCTCTGCGTATCCGAGATGATGGGTCTTCTTGTGCTCGTCCATTCTCTCTTTGTTGTCATTGCTCGGAACCACTCTACGTATTCCAGAAAGCTGCTGCGTAGCTCCATGTTTGTATTGAAAGGACATAAACAGCTTTCTAAAACACATGAAGTAGGTCCAAAAATAACGAAGAAAGGATGGGCGAACGCACGAAGACGCACCCTTCCGGATACATGCAGAACAGCGTTTTCATACTTCAAGCCGGCTTCAAGTACGCAGCTTTTCTCATCACAAGGCAGAGCAGAACATGGAACGGATATGCAACGATATGGAAAAAGGAAAGGGGCTGAGAGAATGCTTGAAAATCAAAAAAAAACGACAGAAAAGTCACAATTTCCGCATCTTAAAAATTGTTCTCATGCCTTTCAAGAGAGAGTTTGGGAGACTATGCAGCGGCTCTCTGGAACAAATAGAGTATTCGGAGCAGAAAACAGGGAATATGGACTAGTTCACAAAGACCCATCTTTCCAGATTCGAAGAACAGATCAGCGCTCTCTTCAACCCGCATCAAGTTTAGAGTTCTGCTCATTGAAAGGGGAAGCGGTTAGAGGAATAAGGCTAAAATGAGAGTAACCTAAGAAAAAATCGTTGAAAATAGTCAAAAATCTCCAACTCCCGCCACTCAAAACCGCAGGCGGGCGGCTGCAGCACATGCAGCACAAGTCCGGCACAGTCCCAGCACAGTGCGAGAGCTGTGCTGGGACTTCCGGAACATCCGGAATAGTATGAAACCAGTCTAATCAACCATTTGATAGCATAGTGGTTCGTGCAGAGACGAGTACGCGAACTGTTTCTCTTTCCCATAACTGAAGGGAAGATTCGAGCCTGAAACTGCTTTTTTGACAAGACGAGACTTCCGTGGATGCAAACTGTTCTCCATGTCAAAATGCGTATGTGCGCCAACATGGCGCAACAACTCCTCAGATGAACGTGTGCAGACATGATGGTGCCATACCCCTGTCCGGTGAAAACCCTGCCGATAACCACATCGGGGTCTCTCGCTTTTACAAAGCCATCTGCTGATAAAAATGTTGCTTCTACCAATAAAGGGATGCGCACAGAGCGCGGGTCTGACAGTACTGACGAGTGGATCTTTGCACCCTGTCAACACGCCACAACCACATCTTCCAAAAACCTCTTAGACTTTAAAGAAATAAAAAAGAGTGTAACAGAAATTATCCGTCACTGCAATATATAAGATCCTAGGGAAGTATCACAATCTTGCTAACCCGTCAGCAGATTCTGTTTTGATATGCAGACTGTATGAAATGGGCCTCATGATGATAGAAATAAACACAACGCATGACTCTATGAAGCAATGCTAGGACCAAATTCTAAATGTGCTAATGCAATCTTAGAATCATAATTGAATCGTTAACGTGAAAAACTTGTATAGAAAGGTGAGAACAGTTTTAAAAAGTGCTTTAAAAACGACCTTCTCGTGGAAAGCCCTCAAACGACCCTCTTGACATTAGAACCTCAGAATATGATATTCCGAAAGACATCATTCTTTTCTAAAGGGTTTTTAGATTTTCAAGGAGCGAACGCTCGATTTTCTGTGATTGCACTTCAAATCACACGTAATTCGACGCCTGATTTTGATCTAAATGGACCTATTGGAAGGGCCATAATTCTCCTAGGAGTGGGGCGTTCGGCCCCAAATTTTCATTTTAGCAAGAAGAAGCTATGAGCTTAATACTCATACCAGGGATGGAGCGATTTTTGGATTATGAAGACAAGTCAATCGGGTCAGGCGTAAGGGTACAAAAGCTAAGGCGGCCTGAGCTTTTGAGGGGTTGAGCCTGACCCAATTAACTTTATCACCAAAAAAGCTTTTCTACTTATTTACATGATTCGCTAGCATAAGCCTCAAAGATTCTACAATAGGTGTTTGAGCTTACCTCGACTTCTTTTCGCTTTGTGTTGATCGGCGGAATTGAAGCACTCGAGGTAGAAAACGCCGTGACTAACATATTAAGCACTTCTTGATCCATTATTTGAAAGAGATATGTTCTAGCATAGACTGTTAAAGAGTAAT